AGAGGAGGGAGACAAGAAGAAGAAGAAAAAAAATCTGTAACCTAATATGACTTTAATGTCCTCTCTTCAGCTTCTTGTTTTCAAAGCTGCCTGAGAGATTTCAAGATGCCACTGTTGGTTGTTATGCTATATCTCAGGCTTTAATTTAATTTTTGGCTTGTTTTGTTTTTATACTCCCTTTCCCCCTCTACAGCCTTGTCCTTGCCTTTCCCATATTAAAAAAACAAAATGTTCAGGGCCTGCTCTCGGGCTGAGTGTATCTGTGAGAATGCATGGCTGAAAAACCCACCAGTGGTGAGGGTTGGGGGTGTGCACTCACTCAGGCACCCTCTCTAGTCACCAGAATGGAGGTGCACAAACAGTGGGTAGGGAGGCAATGACCAGATACCAAATAAAATCAGAACAAAGCAAAATCGACAAAGTTTATTGTCCACCTTTGCTCCAGTTTCCCGGGCGACATTTTTCCATGGTGTTTCTGCTCCCCTGCTTGGTCTTGCCGTTTGGGCTTGCCCAAGATGTCAGCTCTAGGCCTTCGAGCCCGGCAGATTCAAAAGTACACAATTTCTTACTTCAGCTTCAAGTTCCAGTAGCTATAAACTGTCTAACTTTTAAAAATATTCCTAGCTATGTGGTTCCAAGTTTTGCAGCTGCCCTGGATCTGCTTTGCCTGGTATTCTGTGGTATGGATGTCGGCGAACTTCACTGTATCTTCACCCTAGCTGCCATCAATGCCCACCTCCCCCATTATCTTTTAATTACATTTTTTTCCACAAACTTTTTGAACCTCTGTTGTACAGAAACTCTGAACTATATTTGCAAATGTTCTGCATATCTAGAAGTGTTCCCAAATAAAATGGTTTATTATTAAAAGGGGCTCTGAAACAAGGATTTTGATGCAGGTTGTTTATGGGGGAATTAGCCAAAAAAGAAGTGAGTAAGGAAGGAAGGTTAATAAGACTAGAGATGGGGGAAAGGCCAACTTAAAAATGAGCTACTAATCAACAGTGACGAAAATATTGCATTGATTACGTGGAGAGTTGCACTACCAATGGCTAATTCTTATCAATAACTTGTACACACATAAAAAGCTGAATTGGCAAAATTGTGATGAAATCTGAAAAGACCCAGCATTAGAAAACCAGAAGGGAAGAATATGGTCAGCATTTCTCAAGATGAAAAAAATCAAACCTCAGGTTGCAATATTGAAGGACTTTATGGTCAAAATGTTGAATGACACAGGAAGTATCTGAAGATGGAAGGAACAGACAGAGTCGCTGCACCAAAAAGAATTGGTTGATGTTCAACCATTTCAGGAGGTACCATGTGATCAAGAATGGACAATATTGAGGAGAGTGGTCTTAGCTGCACTGAAGCTGCTAGCAAAAACCAAGGTTTTAGAAATTGATGAAATGCAATTTTTCAACAAACTGAGGCAGCACTGAAAATACTCACTACTCTATGCCGAGGAATTTGGAAGACAGCTATCTAGTCAACCATTTGGAAAACTGTCACTTTTTTTAAACCCATTCCAAAGAAAGATGACCCCATGGAATGCAGAAACCATCAAACAATATCATTAATATCACATGAAAGTAAAATTTTACTGAAGATAATTAAAAATGGATTGCAGCAATACATCCACAGAGAACTTCCAGAAATTCAAGTAGGATTCAGAAGAGAATGTGAAATGAGAGATTTTGTGACCCACGTCAGATGGGTTTTGGCTGAAAGCAGAGAATATCAAAAGATGTTTATTTGTGCTTTATTGTCCATGCAAAGGCATTCAACTGTTTAGATCATTCATAGAAAACTATGGATAACATGGGAGGAGAATGGGTATTCCAGAATGGTCAATTTTGCTTATGAGGAACCTGTAAATAGACCAAGAGTCAGTCGTTCAAACAAAACAAGGGGATACTGAATGGTTCAAAATCAGGAAAGGTATGCAGCAGGGTTGCACCCTTTCACCATACTTATTCAATTTGTATGCTGAGCAAATAATCCAAGAAGGTGAATTATAAGAAGAGGAACATGGCATCAGGATTGGAGGAAGACTCATTAACAACCTGTGATATGCAGATGACACAACTTTGGTTGTTGGAAGTGAAGAAGACTTGAAATACTGACAGATGAAAGTCAAAGATTACAGTCTTCAGCATGGAATGCACCTCAATGTAAAGGAAAGGAAAATCCTCATAACTGGATCAATAAATAACATCATGATAAATGGAGAAAAGATTGAAGTTGTTTAAGACTTCATTTTGCTTAAATCCACAGTTAACATTAATGAAAGCAGGACTTAAGAAACCCAGTGATGTATTGCAAATCTGTGGCACTAGACCTCTTTAAAGTGTTTAAGAGCAGAGATATCAGTTTGAGAACTAAGGTGCACCTAATCCAAACCATGGTATTTCATAGTGGTTATGAATCGGGCTGCAAACCTTAAGATCAGCAGCTCAAAACTACCAGCTGTTCCACCAGAGAAAGATGAGACTTTCTGCTCCCACAAAGATTTACAGCCTCAGAAACCCTGTACAGGGTTGCTATGAGTTGGAACTGACTCCACAGCACATAACCACCACCACGATATACATGTCGAAAGTTGGACAATGAATAAGGAAGACTGGAGAAGAATTGATGCATTTGAATTGGTGTTGAAGGAGAATATTGAAAGTACTATGGACTGCCAGAAAAACAAACAAATCTATGTTGGATGAAGTACATCCAGAATGCTCCTTAGAGGCAAGGCTAAAGAGACTTAGTCTCTTAAACTTCAGCTGTATTGTCGGGAGGGACCAATACCTGGAAAAGAATATCATGTTGGTAAAGTGGAGGGTCATCGAAAAAGAGGAAGACCCCAATAAGATGGACTGACAAAACAATGGGCCCAAACCTAACAACAATTGTGAGGATAGCACAGGAAAAGGCAGTGTTTTGTTCTGTTGTACATAGGGTTGCAATGAGTCAGAATTGACTGGACGGACGGTACCTAACAACAACAACAGCAGTTCATTGTTCTCCAAACTTCCTCCTTGGCTCTAGTTCAAACTTTCACTATTTCTTGCCTGGACCATGACAGTAACTGCTCACTGTTCTTACTCCCCCAGGGATGTATGTAACCAACAGCTTACATTTCCTGAAACTCACCTCTGAACATGGCCAGGGATGTACGTAACCAAGAGCTTACATCTCCTGAAACTCACCTCTGAACAAGGCACTTTTTATCTCATTGGATCATTTTCAACATCTCTTTTTAATCTACTAAATTGAGTACTAACTCCCCACCCTGACATTCAAAACCTTTTAGTCAATCTTCCTCTCTAAACTCCCTCATCACTGACACAGCCATACACCTCAACTTCTGCCTGGTTGGTTTACTTCTTTGTCTTTTATCATCCTTTCAACCTCTAGATGCTTGCTTACTCTCTTATTCTTCTATTTCCTAATGATTCTGTAATTTTTTAAAAAAGTTTTTAATTGTAAATTGAGTGATAGTTTACATGGGAGAGCATCAGCTTTATATTCATCCTATCATATTTCATTTCAATGTCATGATTACAACCCCCGCCATGCATCACCATTCAACAGCATTTGCTTCCGATCCCTCTGGGGTGTTTTTTCCCCCCAAATACATGTCTTTATGGTGGACTTGCAACATAGTTTTTTAAATGGGCAATTTGAGTCCTGGGTGTTTTTCCTGGGGCTCCCAAACACCTTTTTTGTCTTTTGTCATTATGATATGTTTATTATGAGTTGAATTGTGTTCCCTAAAAATATATGTTTTAAATGCTAACCCCTATACTTGTGGTTGGAGCCCTGGTGTAGTGCTGCAGGTTAATGAGCTGGACTGCAAAGTCAGTTTGAATCGCAAGGTCAGAGGTTTAGGCCCACCAGCCACTCCTCAGAAACCCCACACAGAGTCACCATGGGTCAGAACCAACTCGATGGCACTTCACAACAACAACATACCTGTGGTTATAATACCATTTGGAAATCATTTTTCTTTGATACGTAAAGTGACCATATCAGTGTGATGTCATTGTTAAGTGCGATCAAGTCGGTTCCAACTCATAGAAACCCCTCTGGGGTGTTTTTGTTTTGTTTTGGATGTACATCGAAGCACTCAGGGATATATAACCATTCAAACAACCAAAGAGTATACCCTGCACGCTATGATTCTGTAATTTTTATAGAAAAAACTCACACCTATTTATCAAGGGTCTATTTAAAGTTCATCCTCTATATGAAACTTTAATCAAATAATCTGATCAATGGCCACTAAACCTCGCTCTGATTTCCCAATGCTTACAGTATCTGTATGACTTCAGATTGGAAGATTCATTGGATAGGGAGAGACAGCAGGAAAGTAGATTAGTTAGAAGGTAGATGCAACAGATTATGAAGACAATGTGGGCAGTGTTGGGGGCTGGGAGAAAAGTAACTAAGGTTATTAGGCTCTGGGTATCTGATGTTGGGGACCTCAACCATGGTGGTGGAATGGCTAATTGGGTCCTGTTGAGCTCTCCCACACACTCAGATGAGCCCACCCCAGTGGAAAAGACAGGGGCTACTTCACATTCTCACTCTTCCAAAGCACAAGCACTGATCTCTGAAACCATGTTCTTCCCTCATTGCTGAACTTCCATCCCACATTCAATCCCTCCTTTTTAATTTTCTTAAAGAAAATGTCCAAACTCAGGTTTTGTACAAAAATATATATTTGGTTTGATAGTTATATTATAATTTCATTTCCACAGTAATATGCTGAACAATGCCTTGGGATTTAAAACAAAACTTCTTTGCATTAACGATCTTCACAAGGACCCTCACAATGTCCCAGGGGTGGAATCAGGGTCCACAGAGGGAAAACAATTAAAAGAAGATACAGTTAAAATATCCATAACTTAATTAAGATAAAAATTATTTAAGGCATCATATATCATATCAGTCAACAAAGTTCATATTCTATAAAATTATAATAAAATAAGATCAGAGGGAATTTAGGGCAAGGTAGTTTATAAATTAGTTGTAGTTTCTTGGGTTGTAGTGTAAGGCATCGATGTCTGAGTTCTCTTGTTAATTGTGGTGATGGCATTCTGGACCCACTTCTCCTTGGGGTCAGCACATACCTCCTTGTTCCGTTTGGTCGTGAAGCTGTGCAAAAGAAAGGCCAGGTTAGAAGAAGTTCTTTGGAGACATCAGTCTCTGAGGACAGCCCACTCTACCCAAGGGGTTTCCATGGGAGCTAAAGGAAGGCAGGGATCTGGAGGAATTGCTCCAGTGGGTGTCCCAGGTGAAGTCACCCTGAACTTCAGGCTAAAGAACTTGAGGTGGTCTGAATGAACACCCTAGAGGGGAGTGATGTCTACTGGGACTCAGTTTTCCCACTTGGACCCTTGGGTGCTGGATTAGAAGCTATAACACTCTCACTCTATGACTCTAAGTTTGTGAGAATTGCCCCTTGCTCCCCAAGGAAGAAGGCTAGAACAACTCACATCACAGCTTCTTTGGGACACTTGCTGCTGGTGATCCTTTTATAGCTTGCCAGCATCATCACAGGAATCTTGTTACAGAATTTGTTGTAGCAACAGGTGACTGGAGAATTAATTGCATCTGGAAATAAAACCACAAAGAAAAAGCATTTTAGGACCAGGTAGATTCATTGAAACTGAGGAAGTAAAGGGAAGGCAAGAGTAAATGTTGCTGCTGTTGCCAGTTTCTGTCCAGTCAATTTCAGCTCATGGTGACCCATGTGTGCAGAGCAGAACGATGCTCCATAGGGTTTTCAAGACTGTGATATTTCAGAAGCAGATTGCCAGTCTTATTTTGAGGTGCCTCTGGGTGGGTTCAAAATGCTAACTTTTCACATAGTAGTTGAGCACTTAGCCATTTGTGTCACTGAGGGACTCCAGAATAGAGGTTGTCATTGTTGTTATGCTGGTAAGTGCCATTGAGTAGGTTCTGACCCATAGCTACCCTGTATAGGGTTTCCAAGGAGCGGTTGGTGAGCTTGGACCACCGACCTTGTGGTTCAAATGGCTTTGCAGTCCAGTGCATGAACCCACAGCCCCACACCAGGACTCTTGAATGGAGGTTGTTGTTATTGTGTGCTGTGGAGTCGGTTCCGACTCATAGTGACCCTATACAGGGTTTCTGAGGCTGTAAATCTTTACAGGAGCAGAAAGCCTCATATTTATCCCATGGAACAGCTGGTAGTTTTGGACTGCTGACCTTGAGTTTTGCAGCTCAATTCATAACCACTACGCTACCAGAGCTCCTTAGTATCTATTAAATTCCAACATTCTGCATATACCTCAGCACTGTAATGTGATCGTTGACACACTTCTTTCTATGCTGTAAAATGGGTATGGAACATTGATAAAGAACAGAGGGAAGAGGTGGAAGGCTATTAAAACCAGAACTCACTCTTGGGAGTGTTGATAGAAGGGCTAATAATCCAAATGATCAGACCAGAGAAGACAAGCCCAGGGGCTCCAGGACTGTGTTCTCTTTTGGGTCTAAGCAATCCTCTGGCTGGGGTTGAGTTTCCTTGATGGGCATAGCCTCTGAGAGGCACTCTCTCTGGAAGCTGTTCTGAATGGAGCTCAGCTCAGCTCAGTTCAGATCCTGGTCTCTTCTACCTTTCTGGAAGGAGCTGGGCAGTCATTGCTTCTATACCTATATTTTGGAGTCCTCAGCTGAGATTCTAGTTTGGTTCTACCCACAAGAAGTTAGATCAGCCTCACTTCTTGACCTCCTCTGAGTTTCCCTAGCCTAGAGAGAAGGTGTTAAAGTTAGATCCTGGGAATCTCTTCTGCTCTGATAACCCAGTGAAGGGTGATGGGCTTCAAGGGGAAGCAGAAGGGGCCTTACCTGGCTGAGCAAGCAGCTGGGTGCTCAGGGTGGCTACTATGAGCAGCAAACAGAGGAGTGCAGCGGAGACCTTCATGCTGGAGGATGAGGGAGGCTGGAGTCAGTGTGAGAGTTGGCAATGTCTGGGTAGTTCTCAGCCTCTCTGCTCTTCTGGCTGTTCTGCCTGTCTTTTATTGAAAGCCATGAGGGCGGAGCGACAGAGGGCCAGGCTTAGGGCAACTCCATCCTCAATGAATGACGAAATGGAAAGGGGAATCTGCTGAGCAAGGGCAGCCTCAGGGGGACAGTTCCTGGAAGTAGGAGAAGGAAGCAGTGGACACTTGTTCCAGGGCTGTAAAAGGGGGAGGATTCACGCCCAGACTGACCACAGTACCCGGTGGGGCTATTCTTAGGGATTTAGCTATCTCTGAAGTGAAAATTCTGTAAAGAAAACAAAAAAAAAAAAAAAAAAGGAAGGAAGGACACTGAAGTCTCAGAGCTTGTCCCCTGACTGTCTTCAGGAAACAGTCCAAAGGGTCTGTAGACTGGGAATGGGCTCCCAAACAGCATCTGAGCTCCATGTGTTCTATAACCACAAGGATGGTGATACACTCAAAAGCAGAACTGTAGGATGTGGTAAGCACACGAGTAAAACTGAATCCTAAGAGTGATTCAACTTAAGACCTGGAAGAAGCCATATAGATCAGATAGTAAGGCAGAAGACATTTTCAAGGAAGACCCTTCTGAGTTTTACTCTAGTCCAGGTCCATTCAAGCACTTTACAATTAATTAAGTCTGCAAATCTCCCGCCTTATCTGGTTGTGGTGGTGGTGGTATGCCGTGGAATCGATTCCAACTCATAGTAACCTTGTATAGGGTTTCAAAGGCTCTAAATCTTTATAGGAGCTGAAAGCCTCGTCTTTCTCCCATAAAACAGCTTGCAGTTTTGAACTGCCAACAATGAGATTAGTAGCCAGACTCATAACCACTATGCTACCAGAACCTTATCTGGTAAGCATTAATTATCCCCACTTGATAGATGAGGCAACAGAGGCACACAGGGGCTTAATAACTAGCCCAAAAAGAGGAAGACCCCTAATGAGATGGATTGGCCAGGTGGCATCATTGATGGACTCAAGTGTGGCAGCGGTAGTGAGGTTGGCCCAGGATCGACTGCTGTGCATGGGGTCGCTATGAGTTGGTTCTGACTCCATGGCACCTGACAACAACAATGCCCTCCAGTCAGAGGCTGAGCAGAAATCAGGCTGTTTAGCACCAGAGTCATTGCTGTTCACACTATAATATGCTTCTGGAATGAAAGTTGCACAACTCCTCTAATCAGCTGCTTACTCATATATCTGGGTCCTTTCTCTACCTCAATATCCTCCAACTAGCAGACGCTTACAGGAAATCAATACACATTCCTGGAGGTTAAGTCACTATGAGTCTGGAGCCTGTGCTTAGTACGGAAAGCAACAGTGGACAAAAAGTAGGTCCCCTGCTCTGGCTGTTGTCCTCCCATCTTCCTTTTTGATCCCCAAGGAGGATGACTGACTATAAGATCATTTGGGGGACTAGATGACTGAGCACAGGCATATTTTGGGAATTAGAATGCTTGGCTTTGCCTCAGGTTTCTTCAGAAACCATAGATTCATAGAAATAAGAACTGGAAGACCTTAGAATTCATTTCAGTCAAATCGTATTCACAAATATAATAAGTGATCCCATGTGGCAGGCTAGTGACTGAACTGAGCCTAGAATCCAGGTCTCTTGGCCAGCCCAGTGAATGTTGTAGAACACTACCTCATCTTTCTGAGCCTTGATTTCTCCTTGTCCACATGGCAGTGGAAGGAGCTAGTGACTTTTCTTTCTTTCTCAGCCACTGTCTGTGAACTGCATGAAGCGTCTTGGAAAAACATACTTGACAGCCATTAGATTTGTAATGAGAAATGGGTTTATATTTAACAAATGGTTGTGTCTGATTCATAGTAAATGGTCGACAATGCCCAAGGAAAGTAGCTGACATTACTGAGTAGTTATCAGGAACCAAGCATTAAGCTAAAATACTTCCAATATTGTCTTGTTAGTCCTCCAAATAATCCAACTTTACTTAGGTTGAAAACTGACATTAGCTTGTCCACAATCTCATAAGTATAGCAGGACAGTCTGCTAATCCATCCTGGACATTCTGATTCCAGAATCCATGTGTCCAACTACCAGACTAAATGTTTCATGATGGATATTGGTTTTCTGGAAAACCCAAGAGCAGAAGGTCTATGGAGGGGTTGTTCCAGACTTGTGGGTTATTGTTGTTATGTGCTGTGGAGTCGGTTCTGACTCATAGCGACCCTGTACAGGGTTTCCAAGGCTATAAATCTTTACGGGAGCAGAAAGCCTCATCTTTCTCCCGTGGAACAGCTGGTAGTTTTGAACTGCTGACCCTGAAGTTCACAGCCCGAGTTGTAACCAGTACACTCTCAGAGTGGGTAAATTACTAAAACACAGAATGAAGAGAGAACACACCGATGTGTGAACCATTTTACTTGTACCTTTCTTAGAGTCTTACTTTTTATATTCTGTGTGGATTCGGATTTTTCGTATTTTGCTATTTCCCATTGCTGCTGTTGCTTGTTGTCATTGACTCAGTGCCAACGCATGGTGTCACCATGTGTGCAGAGCTCCAAGCTTGTCAGCCAAGGCTTCTCTGGGAGGGTTCAAGGCACCAACCTTCCAACCTTTCAGCTGGTGGTTGTACCATGTAGGGACTTGCTATTTAAGAGCAAAATAAGAATAAAGATATTCTTTATCGTGTTAAGGAAGTGCCCTTCTATTTCTGGTTTGCTGAGCAAATTTATTATGAATGAATGTTGAATCTTGTTGACTGCTTTATCTGTTGATATGATCCCCACCCCCCACCCCTATTAATTCTGTTAATGTGAAACCCCTCTGTGTTTGGTAACTTCTTGAAATCATTTCTTCCTGGGCCATTTCCCCTTGACTTCCAAGAAGCTGTTCTTCGCGTGATTAGAAACTCCTCTCTAATCTATTTGTGTGCCCTTTACTATGGACTTGGAAGATTGAGTCCCAATTCCCCATGGAATCCTTTAGGTTCTTGTTATGAGTTGAATTGTGTCCCCCACGTGTGTGTTGAACATCCTAAACCCTATCTCTGTGGGTATAGTCCTATTTGGGGATGGGTTGCATTTGCTATGTTAATGAGACAGGATTAGTATAAAATTTGTTTTGAAATGTAGATGAGATTAAACAAGCAAGCGAGAGAATCAGAGATGAGGGGATATACTCATAGATACTAAAACACATAGAGATCTTCAAGAACAAGGAAAAAAGCAGAAGAAACCAAGTCCTTCCCTTTAGTAGACAGCGAGAGAAAGCCTTCCTCTAGAGCCAGCGCTCTGAAGTCAGATTTCTAGCCTCCTAACTAGAGTGAGAATGCATTTCTCTTTGTTAAAGTCATCCTCTGTGGGTTTTCTGTTATAGCAGTGCTACCAGGAAAGGTGTGTACCATGGTGGAACCCTTCCACCATACTTATTCATCTGTTATGTTGTTGTTGTGTGGCATCGAGTCAGTTCTGAATCATAACGACCCTGTATAGGGTTTCCAGAACGGCTGGTGGTTTTGAATGGCCAATCTTGCAATTATGGTTAGTAGTCCAGTGCCTATCCTACGGAGACAAACCAGGACTGTACGCTGAAAAAGTATTTTGAGAAACTGGATTATAAGAAAAAGAATGTGGTATCAGGATTTGAGGAGGACTCATCAACAACCTGTGATATGCAGATGATAAAACCTTGCTTGCTCAAAGCAAATAGAACTTAAGATATTTACTGATGAAGCTCAAACACCACAGACCAGTATGCTTTACACTTTAAGGTAAAGAAAATGAAAATCCTCATCCCTGGTCCAGTAAATAACATCATCATAAATGGAGAAAAGACTGAAGTTGCCAAAGACTTGATTTTGTTTGGATCTATAATCAATACACATGAAAGCAGCAGTCAAGAAATCAAACGACATATTGCGTTAGGCAAATCTGCTGTACAAGACCTCTTTAAAGTGTTCAAGAGTAAAGATGTCTCCCCTGGAGCAGCTGGTAGTTTCAAACTGCTGACTGTGAGATTAGCAGCCCAATTCGTAACCACTATGCAACCAGAGCTCTCTGGACAGTGAATAAGGAAGTCTGTAGAATTGATGTATTTGACTTAAGGTGTTGGAGAAGAATATTGAAAGTATGGACTACCAGAAGAACAAAAAGTCTATGTTGGAAGTAGTGCAACTAGAATGTTCCTTAGAAGCCAGGTGAGCAAGACTTTTTCTCTCATATGTTAGACATATTATCAGGAGGAGTCAGTCCCTGGAGAAGGACATCATGCTTGGTAAAGTGGCAGGTCAGTGAAAAAGAGGAAGACAACCCCCCCCCCCACCCCAACACCACCACCAGTGAGATGGACTGACACAGTGGCAGCGACAATGGTCTGAAACGTAACAAGCTGTGAGGATGGCGTAGGACTGGGCAGTGTTTCATTTTGTTGAGCACTGGATTGCTGTGAGTTCAAACCAACTGGATGGGACCTAACAACAACTAAAACAACAGATGACTACAACAGTTTCAAAGACTGGTCCTTCAAGCATTCCTTGGGTTTTCTCCAGCTAAACAGTGTCAAGATCTTTAAACTATTCTCTGTTGGTCCCATCAAATTGTCATCACTCCGAATCCCAGAACCCTCGAATCACAGGATCTACTGACACTGACATCACGCAATGCAAACGCCTCACTTCATGTGTGGAAACCCCATTCCTGAGAATGAAATGAATTGGCTCAACTCAAGGTGACATGTATCTCCACTTCAGGCACTTCAGGGAGAAAGCTTCATGTTTGGAAAGTGATTTAGTCACTGCAAGTGTCAGACAATGAGCACATTATAGGTGCTATTGGTGGTGGTTGTGAGCCATCCTGCCGGTTCTGACTCATAGTGACCCTGTACAGGGTTTCCAAGACTGCAAAGTTTATAGGAGTAGAAAACCTTAATGGAGTGACTGGTAGATTTTTTTTTTAATGTTTTACTGTGAATTATGTG